GGGAAATGTAATGATGTGATAAAGCAGGACATCCTGCAGCTGCACCGAGCAATCCTCCTTTGCCCAAGCCCTTCTCTTTCAGCCTCAGACTCCTGATCTGTGTACAGGGAATCATGCCAAATTTTAGCTTAGCGTTGAACTAGGGAACTGATGGATCTCCATGTATCACTGGACTAAAACTCCCATCCTCCCTGGCCACTGATCCCCCTAGTTGGGGCTGATAGGAGTTGCAGTCCAACCACGTCTAGATGGGCATGGGCTGCTTTGATGGGATTGTGGTTCTTGTTTTCAGAATGGTGAATTCACTGTTTATTCGGAATCCTTGCTGGGATGCAACCCAATCCAGCTGGGGCGCGAGGTGAACAATTTTTACTCAGTTTGGTCACTGTCACTTGAGTGTACCCTGAAAAACAACAGCAGGACAATATCCCAGTTTGGAAGACAGATTCCCACTTTTAAGCCAGCCACCCCGAAGGGAGCGATGGCGGGGGAATCTCAAATCCGTTCCCTCATTGCAAACTTCCAGCACCAGGGACAGCAGAAGGAAGGGAATTGTCCGGAGGTTGTATATAAAGAGATTACAGGGTCTTCTAGGGATAAGCTAGAAATGCAATTAAAGCTCTCTTGTGCACCTCTTTTCCCTGGCCAAACAGTGAGGGCAGAAAAGTGCCCGTCCTGCAGGGAGCCATAGGGTTGGGTTTTAAAGGGCCCTTCGGGGGGAATTCAGTGCGTTCTTAAAGGGGCTGCTGGCAAGCTCCAGAGGGGACTTGCAAACACCTGGGAAGCTGATGCTGCTTCCTCTGAGCATCGGAGGAAGCAGAGAAAGTCCATATGGTGGAAGATCCTGAATAAAATAAGAAACAGACTAAGGCTAGTGATCTGCAGGTGGGTTGCTAGGCCTGGCCCCATGGAGCCGAGTCTGGCATATCTTTTCCAGGGCTCTGCATCTTTTCCGAGGTGCCAGAGAAAGGCTTTTGATTGCCATGTGGGAGGGCAATTCTCAAGGGAGAATTACATCTGGGGAGGGACAGATAATCTGCACCCCCCCCTCAAATCTTCTCCTCTGTGGCAGTTAAGCTTGCAGGGGGTACATTTTCCATTGGGCTGGGAAGATCTGGGACAAATTTAATTAAAGGGTTATTTAATTTAAGGTGATTGGGGGGCCCACTTAATTCCCTGGCTTCGCCTCTGAGGAGATGTAAAGAAATCCTAGTGAATCTTTCTACATTTGCTTGTATGGGTATCAATTAGTCTATGTCTTAAAGGCTGGTGGGGAGGGGGGCCTGAAACTTTTCATGGCCCAGGTGCCTCCCTTGGGGAGCTCTTTTGGCAGAGTCCATTGCAGGTTGAGGGGGCATCTTTGGGGCATGATGCCTGCTGTGGGCCCTGCCTCCTCTCCACCAGCCCACCCTCACCCCTGCTCTTGCCCTGCCACCTGTTTCTCATCCCTTCCACCACGTGTGTGCTGGGCGGGCAAGCAGCCCAGGAGCACGGGGACCGGGGCAGCTCCCGCTGCTCCTTCGTGGCACCCCCCTTGTCTGGGCTGGGGCGAAGGCAGGCAAATAAGGACGCTGCGGGGGAAGCACGGGGGAAGCAGCTCCAGGGGTGGTTTGTCTCAGTCGTGTTTTTGCCAGGGCTGGGGGGGAAGCTAAAAGGAGTGGAGGGGAGAAGCAGAGGGCACAGGAAGGTCCAGTCCCATGCCATCTCCAGCCTTGAAATCACCCCTCCCCGACCGGCTTTGAGAAGTTGCACTAGATGGATGGATCGAAATGTATTTGCTTAAATCAGCTAAGATTTCTCTCATCAGAGGCAGCCTGACTTTCCAAGCAGCAGAATCCCTCTCCTGCCAATAGCCGGTCCTATTTAGGGCACGGCCCGTGAGGGGTCAGGCGTGACTTTCCAACTAAACGAACCTATCACTTCTCTCCAAAAGCCCCGAAGTTTCTGAGCACAGAGGTTGGCTCTCGTTTGGTGCAAAGCATGATTTAGCTTTCGTACCAGGCAGGGGAAGCGAAGGAGACTGAGGCGCCGATTGAAATTGGCATAAGTCCTCATGCCCAGCTCCCCCCCCCCCCCGAGGCCCCATTATGACCTTAGTGTGGGGAGAGCTGGCACAGTTCTTTCCGTGGTTTCAGGACCTCAGAGCTGAGATGCCAAAGAAGGTTACAGCTTCCCCGATAATATCAGAAACCCACCAGATTGTGCCTGGATTTATGTCTTGAAGCGAGTTGTCTGCTGCCCTTCTACCAAGAAAAATGGCCCTCCAGATGCCTTATTAGTGGTTGAAAGGGCAACAGCAGCCGTATTTATTTATTGATCTATCCCATCTTCCTTTCCCTGGAATGTGTTTTGGGTGGATGCATATAAGGTAGTATCAACCAAACCCAAGCACTTTTTGGCTCGGAAAAGATTCTGGAGATGTATTTCATGCTGAATTGTGTCATTTTATGTTGACTACATTTATATCCTGCCTTTTTTGCATTTGCAAAAGCCCTGTGTTAGTTCTCATGGTCTTCCCCCTTCTCTCTATTTTATCCCCATTTATTGATCCCCAAGGCCCTGGTCCAGCCAGGGCTCCTCAGTTTCAGATGCAAGAACACTTGGGAAGAAATGAAGCTGCCTGTGTGAGATAGTTTGTGGAATACAGTGGCAAAATCTGGATGCAGCAGATAAACAAGCAAAAGGAAGCTTATAATCTGGTTCTGTCAATAGGCATCTTTCTCCCCACGAAAGATGCTCATCAGTTCCTCTCCCCATGCCAAGGACAAAAGACTCTCCTTCTCAGCATAGAAACATAGAAACAGAGCGAGTCAGAAGGGGTCTCCCAGGCCATCTAGTCTGACCTCTGGCACCAGCCGGCTTCGCTCACGACATGCCCACCATGTGCACATCCAGCCTATCCTTGAACATCCGCACTGATGGGGCCTCATCCACCTCTCGTGGAAGCCCATTCCACACCCTCGGGGTCCTAACTGTTGGGAAGTGCTTCCTGGCCTCTAAACAGAACCTCGGTTCCCTGAGCTTTGCTCCGTTGGAGCGGGTTCTGCCTTCCTTTGCAGAGGAGAACAGGTCTCTCCCCAACTCCGTGTGACACCCCCTCACGTACCTGTAGGTCACCAACAGATCCCCTCTGAGTCTCCTCTTCTCCAGGCTGAAGAGACCCAGTTCCCTCAGTCTCGCCTCATACCCCATCATCCCCTGCTATCTGGCCACCAACCTTGTGGCCCTACGCTGCACTGACTCCAACCTGGCCATATCCTTCCTGTAATGAGGGGCCCAAAACTGAACACAATACTCCAATTGCGGGCACACCAGAGTCGTGTAGAGTGGTAGTAATACCTTTCTCGATCTAGAAGCCACACTTCTGGCTATGCAACCAAGGGTGGCATTTGCCCTCTTGACCACCGCATCACACTGCTGACTCATGTTTAGCCTGCAGTCAACCAGTACCCTGAGAAAAGTTTTTTCTCCTGCGTTGGCCGGGAAGCATGGATTTCACAGAGTTCCACTTTTCCACTATTGTAGAGGTCTTCAGTACGCATACAGGCCCTGAGCCCACTTCCTGGGAGATAAGGATGGGGTGGGTGAAGCGGCTTCAAAATGGCAAACAGTGTTATTCTCCCAGCAAAAGCAGGTTTTGTCTACAGAATGACTGGGGAAGGGAGATTCGGGGCAATTCAAAGGCTGTCCCTCAAGCTGAAGGCTTGGCATTGCTCCATGAAACCATCCTGGCTTTTGGGAGCTGGGAAGGCTCCCTACCCTACCAGTTGAACCTGGACGTCCCTGTCCAGTACTCTAACCACTCCACCACACTGCTTCTCAGCCCCCCTCCCCCCGATGTGCCAGTGAACAGCAAAGAAATGTGGTTGCATGCACATGCGTGAGCTGTGGGACGACTGGCTGCGGAGTATAGAGCGAGGAAAGTGGAAAGGTTTCTGTCACAGATGGGAAGGTATATTAAGCCACAGATTAGTAACATGCACCTTAGAAGCCACTGATGACGTGCATCGGCGCTCGGAGATCTCAGTGTGTTGTGCCGCCTCTCTGGAGCTAGACGGAGTCGATGGAGTCGATTCCTGTAATCACTGCCAGGGCCTGGGGGAAGAAATGTAACCAAAACATCCTTGTGGTCACACGGAACACGGGCTAATGCAGCAGCCCTGCCTGTTGGGGCGCACGCTGCGGGATGGCAGAGCCAAACAATTCCATGATTCCTACCCCCATACGCGCGCACACACACACACACCATCCACACATGGCATCTGGAGGGCAGTTTAGGATGCCAACTGGAACAAGAAACAGCCGCACCACACAATGTCTCCAATAACTCCTCCCCCTCTCCCTCCATGGCCTAGTTTGGCACCTCAGGGTTTCACTCAAAAAAATAAAAATAAAAATTGCCGGGAGCTGAAATGGTGATGTACCATCCCAGGGACCCTAGAACTGAGCCCAATCAGCAGCTGTAACTCTTACATCAAATCTGTAATTTAAAGAAGAGATTTCTTGAGACAGCTCGGATCTTATGCATGCTTAGAAACAAAACTTGTCCAAGGACTCCCAGCATTCCCCAGACAGCAGTGCGAGCTGGGAAATTTAAGAGGTGCAGGACTTTCCTTTCTGTCTAAGCTGCCTTGGATCCTGTGCTAATTTGATTCACTTGGCATGTTTCTATCCTGCCTCTCTTCCATTCTGGTTCCATGGGATTCCCAGGGAGTTCGTCTTTCAGAATCTGACCCATCTTGATTCCTTTATGATCTGGATCCTTGGTTTGGTTTACCCGGTGAACAAGTTGTCCAATCCGGGCTTCTCTGTTCCGAGAGATTCCCTCATGTGTCTTTGTTTTCCCATTTCAGAGGCGCTACACAGATCGACCTGGAGGAAACGCATCCACATCTGAGAATCCATCCTCTTTTTCATAGCGGCACTACTTGGAGGGAGCCAAGGGCGAAGACCCAAAGGTGGCGAGCGAGCCACCCACCCCACGGCTGCACAACTCAGGGATGACCTCAGGCCGAGTCAATCCTTACAGCATCGTATCTTCTGAGGAAGACGGGTTGACCTTGACCACCATGCCTGGAGTGAACGGCTTTGGCAATGGGAAGATCCATACCAGGAGGAAATGCCGGAACCGGTTTGTGAAGAAGAATGGCCAGTGTAATGTCGAGTTCACCAACATGGATGATAAACCCCAGAGGTACATTGCCGACATGTTCACCACATGTGTGGACATCCGTTGGAGGTACATGTTGTTGCTCTTCTCCCTTGCCTTTTTGGTGTCCTGGTTGTTATTTGGTCTTGTCTTCTGGCTGATAGCCCTCGTCCACGGGGATATCGAGAAGCCAAACAAGGACGAATCGTTCACACCTTGCCTCCTGCAAGTGAACGGCTTCGTGGCAGCCTTCCTGTTCTCCATCGAGACCCAAACGACGATAGGCTATGGGTTCCGTTGTGTGACAGAGGAGTGCCCGCTCGCTGTCTTCATGGTGGTCCTACAGTCCATCGTGGGGTGTATAATCGATTCCTTCATGATCGGCGCCATCATGGCCAAGATGGCTAGGCCCAAGAAGAGGGCTGAGACCTTGCTGTTCAGCCATCACGCCGTGGTGGCCATGCGGGACGGGAAGCTGTGTCTGATGTGGAGGGTAGGGAACCTGCGCAAGAGCCACATCGTTGAGGCCCATGTCAGAGCTCAGCTCATCAAGCCCCGAATCACCGAAGAGGGGGAATACATCCCGCTGGACCAAATCGACATCGACGTTGGCTTCGACAAAGGCTTGGACCGCATCTTCTTGGTGTCTCCGCTCACCATCCTCCACGAGATCAATGAAGAAAGCCCCCTGTTTGGGATTAGCCGGCAGGACTTGGAAACGGACGACTTTGAGATTGTGGTGATCCTCGAGGGCATGGTGGAAGCCACCGCCATGACGACGCAAGCCCGGAGCTCGTACTTGTCTAGCGAGATCTTGTGGGGTCACCGTTTTGAGCCTGTCCTGTTTGAGGAGAAGAACTTGTACAAGGTGGACTATTCGCACTTCCACAAGACCTACGAGGTCCCGTCAACGCCCTGCTGCAGTGCCAAGGACCTGATGGAGAACAAGTTCCTTCTCCCGAGCACCAATTCCTTCTGCTATGAGAACGAACTGGCCTTCATGAGCCGCGACGAGGAAGACGAGGAAGACGAGGATGACAGCAGAGGTTTGGACAATCCAAGTGCGGACAACCCACTTGAATTTGATAGGCTTCAGGCCACTGTAGCACTAGATCAAAGGTCGTACAGAAGGGAATCAGAAATATGACCGGGGGCCCAGCCTGGAACTCTTCCCGGGAGCATCCTTTCCCCTCTGGCCTCGCCCCCAGTGAAAAAACAAACCTGACCCAACTCAGATTATGCAGAACACTGCAAGTGCCATAGGAATGCCTGAGAATTACTTTGGTTTGTGGGGTGTTAGAGGGTTTCTTGTTTTGTTTTTCCTTTGAAAACCGTTTCATTGCAATAACCGTTGAACGGCAAGGGCCCTGAAGGCACCAGCGGCCTGGAAGTAGTACGAGCATCCAGTGTTAACAAAAGAGCTGTTCAGAGAATGACAGGGAAGGCAGATTCGATATGGGAACACCCTAAGTTAAAACGAAACGAAACGAAACACCATGATTCCCATGCGCTCTTGCCATGTGTAGTGTTGCATGCAGAATGCAGTAATTTAGCCTCCCCTTTTCCTAGCTGAAAATGAGAGTTTTTCTGTTTAAAGCAAAGCACTGCAAAGGTTGAAACGGAGAAAATATCAGGAAGCAAAACCATATGTGTGTGTGGTTTTTTTTAAAAAAGAAACTGAACATATAAATATGAATAGATATATATATAATATAAATATACTGCCAAGAAATGTGTTTCTGATGCACTAGATCAGCACTTGAAGTTGTACAATCTATGGCTCTCCTCTTTCAATTGAGGGAAAAGAAAGCAACATGGTTTTTAAATATTGTTAAAATATTTTTGTTCAACTCCCCTCTTGGGGAACCATTTACCAAAAAGAACTTTTTAAAAAAAAATGAAATGTGACTACTTTTTAAAAGGCAATCTTATGCACCTCTATGTGGCAGTAAGTCCCACTGTATTTTCTGGGACTTATTTTCAGGTAACCGGTATAGGTATGTAGCCAGAAGCAGTGAATGTGAAAATCTGCAAGATCAAGGATGCGCCCCTCCTTTTTTTGCTGCTTTGCTTCTTTTTCTGTCTCATCTATTTCCTGGGAAATCATTCAGTAAGAAACCCTTGTCCAGAGGCCTGAAAAATGGATAGGAAAAAGTTCCCATGAGGTGTAGAAAGGAACTGGGCATTACAGAATGCACTTGGGATCCCCAGCCTGAGAGGCATCCCATACGCTTGCGTGAGGACCTGAGGGTGGGGTGCAATTCAGCCACCGTTCCCGCCATGTAATTGTCCTTTACTTCAAGCAGCAAAAGGTCTTGGGCTGGCCCCAAATGTCACTTTTCCATCCTCGTTTCGATTACCCTTCCTCTGTCCATTTTCCACCCGCTGTTCCCCTCCCAGCTGTGTTCTGCGAGCAAAAGTATGGCCACGAGGTTGCGGAAAAACACTCTCGGGAGATCCCTGGGAAGGGTGAGCGGGCACCGGAAGGATCTGGTGACCCTCCTGTTCCCTTTCCCATGGGTTTGCCCCAGTTCCATGACCTTGGCCAATGCTGGTTCAAGAACATGTCAAGGTTGAGGTAATGCAATGATCTGTTCACAGCTAACAAGCAAAGAGAGACTTTTTAAAGCTTATCCAGCCATAGAGAAACACATCTTCCACAGATAATACTTAACGCATCTGTTAAAAGAGTTATTCTGTGGCGTGTCAGCAGCTTTTATGTTCTCTGTATCACTGCTCCCCTGCCTGCCCTGTTTGATGCCAGTCTGGTGCCTTCCAGATGTGCTGCACTTCAGCTCACAATATCTCCCAGCCGGGGATTCGGGGAGTTGTAGTCCAAAAGATCAGGAGAGCACCAGGTCAGGGAAAGAGCCTATGCATCTTAAACTCAACGGGGGCCAAATTGTCGACTGGTGTTGTAGTGTTGATTAGGTGATGCCGCCGTTGATTTGGGGGGACACTGAGCCATGCCCTTGATGTCAAAGTACCGCTCCCTCCACCTGGGCCACTTCCCCTCATGTCCATGAAGGAACACCCAGGGACTTCAACCTGGTCCAGAAGTCCAACCTTGCTTGGTTTTCAGTTGCACAGAAGCTCCTCCACATGGGCATGCAGGTGGCCTTCACCTGTTCGACTCAACAGACAGATGCCATGGGTGGCGGTCCCCTCATGCGTCCATTGGACCCATGAAGGGGCCCAAATAAGTGCAAAAGAAGAGGGGTTACTTCAGCCACATTCATCTAGGAGCAACCAGGCATTACAGGTGCCTTTTCGGGTCAGGAAATGGTATTTTATGTAATAATTCTTTTGCCCTTTTATTTAGAGCTTTTCTGCTTGAGGCAAATATTGTGCACGCCTCTTCCCCTTCTCACAGTTCTTTACGGGTTCTGGAAATGACTCCAGTTTTGCTCCTGCTTTTAAAGAGAGCTTTCAGGGAGGTTTTTTTAAGAGCAGCTGGGGAAATGCTGCATTATGATTTGAAGCAAAAGTAACATGCTTTTTCCACTGTGTAATTGCACTATTCAGCTATGCTGTAGCGCCACTTAGAGGTTATTCTGTGGAAAAACAGGAAAGGAAATGTTTCAGATAGTGCTCAGATCTTAATCCAGCAATGAAATACAGCAGTTTACTGGCCTTATGTAGAAAAGTTCTTAAACTCATGCTAGGGAAGAAATGGAGCCCTGGCAGTTGAGAAAAAGCCCTCCAGCATCCTGTTTCTAATATGATATGCAATTATTTCCCATTTTCTTAGCTTTAGCATGGGAGCCTGTGTCCCTCTGGGTATTTCGGTCTACCACCGGCATCAGCCCCTGCCAGCAAGTTTCTGCAAGCCAAAACAAGCCTTCTCAACCCCTGCTCTAGCAGAAGGCTGGGCGACCTGTTCTCGCTCACGCCGTGCGTGGGAGGTGTGGCGAGCATTCGTGGCACACCTGAACAGGTGTAGGCAGGGCCCCTCACGGAGCCAGTGCCACGTTTTTGAAGGCAGGCGCACTCAGTGGCCACCTCCCTCCACAAGGTCCCCACCGTGTTTTGCCCCTCTTCCACCTTCTCCGCATCGCTGTCCCTCCGTCACCTGGCAGGCAGAGAGATGCGGAGCCAGGTGGCAAAGCACTTTTAGGGGGACAGTGGAAGAGGCGGGGGGAGTTACTGCAGAGGGCAGTTGCCCAGGGCTGCTGCTGGGGTGGGGGCCCTCAATGTAGGCCCCCAACCGTGCCCACCCGAACACCGATCTGGGGCCACATCCCTGCCGATGGCAGAGTGGATTCAGGCTGTTCTTGAATGAGGCAGGGCAAAGGCAGCCCCCTGCCCCGCACTGCTGGGGTTGCAAGCGCAGCCACCAACTTCACCTGCCCCCTGGGCTCCTGGGCATTCACCGCCGCTCACTCTGCAAACACACGCTGGAGAAAAAGTGTCTCCAAGCCTTGGAAGAAGGCTGCTTCCTGCAGAGAAAGGGGCTGAAGGTACCTGAGCAGGTTGTGGGGCTTGTGGGAGAGATTCTTGCTCACCTGGCAGCCCTACCTGCAGGTGTGCTACAGGGGCCTGCTCCATGACTCAGGATCAGACTTGCAAAAAAAGTTGGCCTCTCATGTTCCCTTCAGGTATGGAATTGCCCTGCCTTAATGCAAAGCCGAACCGGGAGGGACCATTAAAGATCGGGATTTGGTTTGTTCCCCTGACTCTCACAGCACGGGGCTTGTTGGTTTTTCTGCCTCTGGGATCCCTTGATCTCCTTGCCCTGATTCTGTGAAGCCAGTGCCACCAGAGGGTTTGCTTTGCTAGGTGTTTGCTGAGAGTCCAAGGCAGGTGCCAAGGTGGGCACGCTTTGTCCTTTGACGGGGCCACGCTCAGAGGGCCACCAAGTCCCCCTGGACTAGCACCTCTTCTGCACCTGCCTTGCTCTGGCCCAGACAACCGTGGTGGCGAGGAGGTGCAGCAGAGGTAGGCACTGCCCCCCCCCCGCCCCCCCGGCTACAGGCAAGTGGCAGCCACCACAAGGACGAGGAGCAGGAACCACTGGTGGCCATGGCGGTGAGACAGGAGACCCACTGAAACAGGGGCCCCTTGAGGGTATCTTGCCCAAGGTCCCTCCGAGCCCCGGAGCCATCGCCTCCCACCCGACAGATCAAGCCCTGTCCAAGACAGATTCTGCTGGCTTATAAAAACAGCAGATGCTGAAGAACCAATCCTCCTTTGCAGGCTCCAAAGAGCGCTGTGCCTTAAGCGAGAGAGATGCAAACCAGTTCCGTTCCTCAACGTCTCTTTGTCCTTGCACCGAAAGCCATACTGTGTATCCCTTTCTTCTCTTCCCATCCCTGCTCCCTACTACTTCTTCCGAGTAACACTCTGTTCCTCTCCCCAGCCTTAGCAGGTGTCACATGTCCATCCATCTGGATGGAGGCGTGCGACCAAACCACGGAGCAGATCAAAAGCAATAAAAGTGGTTTGCACGACACACGTTACCAGAAAATATCGATTTCCCCCTCCCCGCAGGCCTGCCACCACCTATTATTGCAAAAAGCAAACATTTCAAAGGAAGCAAGCAAGAAAGAAGGTTCTCATTGCCTGAATTTGCCTGGGAGCAAATATTGGCAAGTACGGAAGGACATCATATGTTATGTGACAGCTTGCAAAGGGGAGAGAGAGAGGGAGAGAAAGAAGCCCTTGTCTAAAATTAGATTTCAGTCCCTACTCGGGCCTGTGGGAGCTAAAATTGCCAACTGATCAGGGAGAGAAAGCGGGCTGGTCCATTGCTGTGCCATTCGCAACAGCTCGATCTGCAGAAATCAACATGAAGGAGAGTTGTCTCGGCCGGGCTGTAGGCCACTAAGTAGCTCCCAAAGGTATAGGAGGAAGGCTGGTTAAATAACAAAAAAGGGCAAGACTAACGGTTAAATATGCCATAGATTGTTGTTGATGTTGCCAGAGCTCCTGTGCTTATTTCCTCCCTGACCCAAAAATCCAGATGTTGGGCAAATGGTGAGTTCTTTGGATTGCTAATAGAAGTTAGGAAGGGTCATTCCGGATGATCTGATCTCCTGCACTTAGTTCAATTCCATTTCAGGCCACATTCATTCACGAATGGGGCTCAGATTTCTGTCTCTTTGGGTGAAATCCCACCTACGTCGTAGTTAGAGAAGAACCACTGGTATGAAATCTAGATGCCTTCCAGGCATTGGAGGTCTTAGTCTA